GCAGGTTGCGCAGGGGCCTGTCATGCCTCAGGCTCTGAGCCTTCTGGATGACCTTGTCGATGCCCGGGATGTCCTCCCAATGCTGCACCTCTTGCATGCTGATAGTATGCTTGGAACCAAAGGTCAGGGCTGAGTGGGACACGGCTTTAACCATCCCCACAACCGCCAGAACCGCCAACACCCCTGCTCCGGCCAAGTACCAGCGGGACTTCCCGGAAGGGCGCTTGGGCGACTCCATAAGGACTTCCTCCACCTGGATTGCTGCTAAGGAAACTAAATCAAGTTACGACAACGAAGAAACGCTACTATTTACTAGATACCGAGATTATGGTAACTTAAGGGATGGTAGGCTGAAAAAAATTCCTTAACAGCCCAGCCACCTCGTCCTCCGTGCCTTCAAAGTGAAGATGTCCCTGACGGCTCATGGTGCTCCAAGGACAAGAATGCTGGCAGTCGCTGCGATTGTGGGCAATAGTTGCTTGACAACGCTGACGGCTGACGGCATTTGCAGTGTCTCAAACTTGAGGGTCCTTGTTTGGATGTCCTTTCTGGGGAGAGGCTCTAGCACGTTGGGGTACATGAGGGGACCTGATTGCTGCCGCACTTCTATATCCCTAAGGGTCCAAGGACCCAAATAATGGGGCTTTAGGGCCCAAATACCATATTATAGTATTTGGGCCCTAAACCCCTATAATTTGGGTCCTTGGACCCTTCGGGTATGCTTACTGGGCATGAGGAACCCCACCCATGGGGGACACGTCGAGGATGTCTTCGATGTTGCGGACACATGTGCTAGCAGTACACAAGAGCGTACTGGCCTCGTGCACAATTTGGGGATTTCCTAAAATTAGGGGTACCTTTATTGGGGGTCCCCATAATAAGGATTATAGTATATTGGGGCTCATATTGGGGTCCCCTTATTAGGGAAATTACCATTTCTGATATTTTGCAATATTCACGGATTACCCACCCCACTCTATGCTGGGCATGGCGAGATACACCAGGGAAATACATCACCATTGATGCAGTGCAGTCAAGGTCCTGTATGGGAGTTCCTCAATACCCTAAGGGTGCAAGTACCTAATAATCATATACTTACCCAAAACCTGTACTACAATTACTATCACCCAAAACCCAAGGACCCTTTTATTGGGTACTTGGACCCTCTGGGAATACAAGGGGGGGGCGTCTTTGGGGGGCTTCTGCTACTTGCCAGGGACCCCCTTTTGCGGAATGCCCATGCCGGAGCTCTTCAAAGTAATCCCTGCGTCATCCATACACATATGGGAATTGCCCAAAATTAGGGGTACCTTTTTGGGGGTCCCTATAGTAAGGACTATAATATTTGGGGGTCTATATTGGGTCCCCATATTGTTGGAAACTACCATATGAATGCCGGACTAAATCTCTTGC